CTATGCTATTTATTATACCTTTAAAGCAACTTTATTTCTAAAGAGAGCAACAGTTAACACCCTATTATAATAATTAAGTAAATTAAAAACGTATGACCTTAGTTCGTATATATATTAACTACTAGCGGTCCTAATCTTCCCCTCTACTTTTCTAATATTTTCTTTGATAAAAACCTTCTCCTGACAATAACAAACACAACAAAAAAAGAATTAGCAAGATTGGTCCAGGCGTTGTTCAGTTATGCGCTTACCAACACATTTTGCGATCCGTTTTTATATATAAAGATATAGTTTATCCATTAAGTTAGTATTGTGGGTATTTTAAATCATTCGCTTTTTCACAAAATATTGTTGCATTACAGCTTAATTTATTAAAGTTTTAGAAACATTATATTACTAATATTAAAAAACTATACAATTCTTAATTCTAAACAGAAAAATAATAAGCACTGTTCGTTCTTGACGGAATTATTGGAATAGCACATAACAATCCCAGACGAGTAAAACCACCGAAATGTATGTTTGGATGTGTCGAGTATGTTGGCAACACAGTGTAATGGTTAATACATTATAAAATTATACGATTTGTTGATTCGTAATATATTATAGTTTCAAATTCTACGGATTCTGTGTACTATGTGTGTAACTGTGATTCGTAAAAATACTGCTTTTACTATAACTGCCCGTTTTACTGTAGATATGAAGTAATGTTTTATGTTTATTTATTTTGTAATTAGAACCTTTATTTCCATATAAACATGTATGTTTAAAAATATTAGAAGCAATTATAGCTTCAGCAACTATTACTAAATAATAAAGATAATTATCAGGAAAACAATTGAAACTATAATGTACGTACCTAAAATGGAAAAAAAATGAATATTGAAACACCCCTAAACCACGATTAATGATAAAATCTTTTTTTCTTTAAGAAACTAGATTAGAAACTAGATTAGATTATGCATGCTGTGGCAACCTATAATTAAGTCTACACTTAGCATAAGATTTAAGATATTATAAGAACATTGTAACTAGTGTAAGATTTGTTGGTTGTCCTAAATAAAAAAAAAATAAATAAATAAAAAAAAAAAAAAAAAAAACGTGTCTTTAACACTAGAATTTTCTTCTGTGTTGTAAGTGCATTTACAAACATACAAATTTACATACACTAACCACCCAGACTCGAAACACCAATTTGTGGATCACATAAGGTGTTGTTTCATGCGAGAATCGAACCCACGACACATTGCACCGCCAGTTGCCAGACCTGTGCGTCAATCATGCAATCTTGAAGAAACCTGTCCTTGTCATTTTATTATATGTTGGAAATCGCCAATCTGCCATGAACGGTGTGGGAGATGCTTCAGCACGAATAGGTCGGCTCGGCCGGAGTGACACCACTGCCTCACAGAAACTGGCGTGAAACAACCACAGCATTGTGATTCGCCGTGTGAGTAAAGTTATGGGCAGCCCAATCCTTCCCGTCCCCCAATCCCTCTCCAACCTCTAAAAGATCGGCAACGCACTCGTAGCTCCTCTATTGCAGTGGATGTCACATAAAAAAAATAGCAACCGTAGTGATAATTGCTTAAACGATCTCCGTGTGTGCAGATGCACTATAAGTGACTCTAGAGTAGACTACATATAAATGTACCCACTTAACTCTATGCTAATGATGAATGGCAACCGATAAAAAACAAAAGGCAACCAACACATGTCTAGATATTCCCATCAAAAGCTCAACTATCCAAACACTCTGTACGCCAGCACCAATTATTTACAAAAACATCCTCATTAAATTACTGTTTTCCTGCAAGTCTGCTCACCCACAAACCGTGACACTGCCGACATACGAAACAAGGTTAATTACGAACGCTGCGACCGAATTAGACACAGACGGACAAACAGACTCCGAGAAATGTACAGAGTTAGTATTGAAAGTTTGTGCGAGTTTATTAATTTTAAAATATTGGTCATTTTTTTCTCAAGGGATGAGCAGTAAGCTTACATACCACCAGAGAATTAAAAAGTGCGGTGGCAGCCTTATGAGGGTGTTTGGGAATTTGAATTTTGCGGTTGGAAAAGGGAAAGGACTGAGTTTTCGATAACTTCTTTTTCAGTTTTTATATTTTAGATTAGAGTACTTATTTCCCAAAAATGAAATCTCAATAGTAGTTACCAAACCCGAAAATTAAACATTTAAAATCGCTCAAAAAAATGCATATTAACTGTACTCATAATGGTAAAAAACTATAGATGATATACAAAACTTCTTTAAGAGATTGTTTTTTAAATCTGACTGACAGATCCATATGGAGAAAATAAAAATTCTTTGTTTAAAAATAACGAGCAATAAAAATATTTTACCCAGTAAGGTAAAAAATGCCAAATCACTTTTTTCCAAGGTTCCCTTTGTATGCGCAGGAGTCTCGCGCAATACTGTTGCGTAGGCGCAGGGTCAATGAACTCTACAGTTCCCGATTTAACGAGAATTGTGAAAACCGCTGAAAGCATTATTGTACACTGAAAATAATTTATATTAGAGGAAAGTACTGAAGAAAATATATTAATATTTATAGAAACTGTGACATTTTTATTTATTGCGGGCTATTTGGTCTATATTTTCATTAGAAAGAATTTCAGTAATTTTCATTATTCTCTGAAAATTGGGTTTAAGACGGGAAGCGAGCTTGGAAAATTGTTTGCCTAGTCTTGGATTCAATTTCTTTATCGTTGGAGTATTTTTTTACACATTAGGGTTATTTTTTATGTAATAGATTGCCAAACGAGCAGACGGATTACCTGATGGTAAGCAATCAGCACCCATGGACACCCGCAGCGGAGGAGTTACGAGTGCGTTGCCGACCTTTTAGGGATTAAGGATTTGGAGATTTAGGGACTAAGGAGAGATTGGGGGAGGGGAAGGATTGGGCCTCCGGTAACCTCACTCACACGAGGAAACGCAAAACACAACGCTGTGGTTGTTTCACGCCGGTTTTCTGTGAGGCCGTGGTATCACTCCGGTCGAGCCGACCCATTCGTGCCGAAGTATGGCTCTCCCACAGTTATATTTTTACAATTTTTATTCATTTGTAATTTACGAATCTATGTATATCAAATATATACAACCAATTGATCTGAATTTTTGTATTCACATTTAGTTTGCATAAGAATAAATACTAACCTGTACTCGAAGTCTAAGATTTACTAATTATCATATATATTAGATTGCTATAAAAGATATTTTTCATAAAATTTCTATTTACTCGGCTACAGAGTTCACAACCAACGCACCCAAAGAAAGAATTAACAAAAAAAAAACACAATCGCATAACATCAAAATTGTTTTACATCAATCTGTGTATAGCCTCAAATCGCAGACATGGCGCAGACATAAACAAAAGACGGACAGACGATATTGTTTCTTTTATTAGACATTGTTTGTAAATATCACTATGTAAGTTGCGTCTAACCGCCTTCGTTACATTCGCGTGCATTAAGATTCGAAAGTAGATATCTGTACAAAAATCCTCTCTGACATTATCACCTGTTGGTCAATTGGCGTCGCCCATTAGACACCCGCAACTTTATAAGAGTTACGAGTACGTAGAAGGTCTTTTGAAGGTTAGCGATTAAGGGATTGGAGATTGGGAATACGGAAAAGTACAGGAAGGATTGTGTCTCTAATAACCCAACTCACACAATTAAACACAAAGCTGTTGTTTAACGCCGTTTGTTTATGGGATCGTGGTATCCGTCCGGCCGAGCCGGCCCGAAGCATGGTTCTCGTACACTCAGATTCGCTTCCCGCTCAGAGCAACTATTTGTGTAATCCACAAGGTACTGTTTCTAATCTAGGTTTGATGTGTATCTGAAATTGTATGTTTGTACCCACTACCACGAGACGATCAAAATCCCTTATGAGGCAACGTTTTTATAAAGAAAAAATACTAAGCAAGCGTTAGTTTACGCCGGATTTCTGCCGGGCGTGATATCAGTCAGTCTGGTTGAGCCCCCATGACCCATTCACACTTTCAATATTTTAAATAATAACTCCACACACTTCACGCTACCTCCCCTGCAGCGTATACCCCGGCGGTAGTAGTAGTAGCGGGGACCCGCTAATGAATACCGCCAATCCCTCGTCTAGCCATCTAATCGACACTGGCGGTGCCTTGATACGGAAATAAACCCAAGCCCCCTTATTAGAAAACAAGGTTTATCTTTAGTCCAGGTTTAAACCATTGAGTCGGGTTTTGAATTTTGAATCTTATTGTCATCTACTTTCAATTCGAAATACGAAAACTGACTCAATGGTTTAGTCCCAGACTAAAGTTAAACCTTGTTTTGTAATAAGGCCGAAGATGTTACGATTTCTGGATTATGTTATCATCATTATTTGTTCATTCATATCCAACATAGTTGATAGACCTTTTTGGATCAAAGATTTTGGACACGGTTTCTTCTTTTTAAGATAAGAAATTAAAGATGTTTTTTATTACGGTCATAATTTTTAGTCGTCAGATTTTGTCAAACTTTTTGGGATTTCAATATGGCAATATGATTTTCAGTTACAGGCGAACTGAATAGTTTCATAAGGGTAAAGTAGGTGTGTGTGAGCAAGTGCTTCGAAATAATCCTTTCCATTTATTTATTCTAAGATGTACTTTCTCGAAATACTTCAGTTAGTTAAATAAAAAAATATAACGAGATAAATAAAAAAAATGTATAAAAATGTTAGTTTTTGACGTTTCGATGAAAGTATCAAATTTTTCTATAGAAACTATCGTGAAACATACAGAAATTTATTTAAAATACCGATTTACCAGCGCACTGCTTCAACAAGTAGCTTTTATCACTTATATAAATCTTTAACTTCAAAAATGTAGTATTAAGTTACACTATGACACAAGTTTTTTTAGTTTTTTTTTTTGAGTACAGTAGTACATATGTATATGTAAATAATATGTAGTACTGTAAATATGTATAAGAAAACTCACCGGCATGATGCAGCGCGGTCTCGAAGGGCGCCCTCTGCACTCGCTCCTTGCTCTCTGCCAACAAAATATAAATACATCAGACTAGTTGCCAACGCATGGACCAAACATCACACTACACTTCCAATAAGGGAAATAATATTGTCAAGTACACTGTCTAAAGAGGTTTATAATTTCTCCAAAACCTAGCTAATATTTTCGTCCTGTACAAGAACAGATTCTATTGTTGACAAACTTTAAAAATCAAAAATCGAATTCGTCCACCAGTTAAATAGAAAATATATATTAAATACGCATTTTTTTTATTTATCATAAAACAAAAAGATATTTCGATATAACGAATTTAAATTTAGGAATGGAAGGTTGCTACATGAAAAAAACTGCGTGTCTATTGTTTAGAATAAATATAAACGAAAACATTAATATAAATTCCTATTAAATAAATTAAATATATCGTGTATTATCGACGTTTACACGTAATGCTTTGGCAAGATACATAGCTCGACTAGTTTCAAGAGAGAGTAGAGTTCATATCATCCCTCTTGATAACACACTGTCTTTTACGAAGAAAATTATGATTCAATATGATAATAAATCAGTAGGGACATAAGGTCGACGAGAGGGAATGTCAGGCTTTCACTACTAACTACAAACCATCTGTCTTATCCTGTTTAAGGTCGAACCTGCTGTATATTATTGCACTTACACAACCTCTGGATTCTTTGTACCTACTCATAAGTACATTGCGTTCAAAAGTACTTTAAAATCATGAATTGAAACTTGAATATTTATTTACATTCCAATATAATCCTAAATCGTAAGACTATATTTAAGTTTGGCCTTCCTATCACCTGTTCTAGTTAACCCAGATTTTCCCTGAAACCATACGATTTCGTACTGAAAGGTCAACAACCTTTGAAATGTAATTTTATAAATACTCAGACTACGTTTTATTAACAGCTAAGAAATATATATCTTTTAAAAGTGTACAGAAACGATTAATGCGACGACATATAGGCTAAGTACCTATTTATTTAAATTTCGAAAAAAGTGACAGTTACATCTACAGCTGTTTATTGCAGATCTAATCTCTACATAGAAGAGTTTACTAATCTGCCTAAGGGTAAGTGTTTTTTTTCTTTTTGAAAGTGTGGATAAATAGAAGTGTCAGACTCTTGGTGACTCAAAACTACGATGTTCCTTCTCCTGCTCTGAGCCGTTGATCTCACTGCATTTACATAATTAACATTCGCAACCCCGACCAAGGGATAGTCTTAAAATAGTCCAAGAGTGTTGCTGACCATTAAACTGTTAAACTGTTAAATGTAACCATTTAAGTACCTACATTGGCTCTTCTCGCATGGAGAAAGTTAATCTATTCCATCAGAAATTTCAAAAATCTTTGAACATATGAATGTTACAGGGAGTGCACCTATTATTTCATATTAAATATATATTATATATATTTAGATTGTTCAAATTTATCAGCTGAAAGTTATTCAAATTGTAACGAAAACAAAGCTTTTCAATGACTTTTCTATTTTTCAAATTAACTCACTGGATAGCTAGGCAAGTAAGCTGTCACAGACATAACAATTAATTCAATATGTCTCATAATAGTTGTGATACAATTGTTTTTTTTACCTCTATGTCAGCACAACATGTATTCTTTTTTATTATTTATATTAGCCACCATCATATCACTTTCTTTCTATCTTTTTTCAAAGAGAAAATATTTTAGACTCTCCACCAGTATATCGTTTAATTTGAATTTTTTTACAGGATTTTAGGAAACAGAGAGTAAATTTCCCTTAATTCGAAACGAAGGGTACTTCGACGAAGCTCAGCGATAAAGCAAATCCAAATGCTGGGATTTTTATCCGTGTTAAATCATGCGTAAAGTTTAATGTAGGATTTGTGACGTCGTCAGTTGATATTTGATCACCGGTTTTCAATTCTTATCGTCTCAGACTATTTATTATATATCGAGGTATAAAATAAGTTTATAATATACATGGTTAAATACCTTTTTTATGTTATAATTCGGCAAACTGTTTACCTGATGGTAAGCAATTAGCGCCGCTGAGTTACGAGTGCGTTGCCGACCTTTTAGGGGTTGGAGAGGGGTTGGGGGAGGGGAAGGATTGGGCCTCCGGTAACCTCGCTCACACGGCAAAACACAACGCTGTGGTTACTTCACGCCGGTTTTCTGTGAGGCCGTGATATCACTGCGGTAACCTAAATCCTCTGAGAAGAAATCAGAAATTTCAAAAGTCTTTGGTAACTTCGTGAAATTTTTACATAATAATGTTATAATTACATACGAAATAATGTAAGTATGAAATGTATGTATGTATGAAATTATAACATTATAACGTGAAAATTCAGACTGTTCAAATTTATCAGCTGTAAATTATTGAATCAGTGAATTATTTTAACTTTATTTTTTCTCCTAATCAAAAGTTAATAAAAAAAACACGATGCGTTTTAATTGCTTGACCCTATCACGTAATTATTATGTCTGCGAAAACAAAACTGTATCAACGAAATTCGTAAATATTATTATTTAACATTGGAAAACTTAACAATTATAACAATGACTAACTTGTTTACTTGTTAATAACTTAACTTATTAATTAACAGTTAACTCCTAAAGTTATTATTTTGACACCTGTTATCTGTCAGTTAAATGTCAACGACTTCAACGATCCCACTCGAGTAGATTAGTAGATTATATCGTAGTACATATTATTTATTATTTATGCTATTGCTTTTTAGGTACAATTCATAAAAAATATGAAACTTAAAAAAAGATTTCGATGTGACTTTGACGATCTATAATTATATATTAACTAGCTTTTGCCCTTTAGGAAGTCACTATTCCGAACGGAGTGGTATAAAAACTATCCTATGTCCTTTCTCGAGTACCAAACTATGTCTATAGCAAATTTGACAGAAATCGGTTCATTAGTTTAGGCGTGAAGAAAAGACAAACAGACAGAGTTAGTTTGGTAAGCTTTTAGAATATTAAGCTTTTTGAATTTTAAGCTATTGTTTTTTTTCTACTTCTATGTCAGCGCAACATGTTTCTTTTTCACTATTTTTTCAAAGTTGATGTATGTTGGGGCATACTACGTCAATTTAAGGGTTAATCGCCATAATTATCCGTGATATAACTTTTTTTCAGTTTTTTTTTTATAGAGAAAATATTTCAGATCTTTCACCACATTTTCTTTTAATTTGAATTTTTACAGGATTTTAGGTAACAGAGAGTCAATTTCTCTTAGAAACGAAGGGTCCTTCGACGAAGCTCAGTGATAAAGCAAATCCAAATGCTGGGATTTTTATCCGTGTTAAATCATGCGTAAAGTTAGCAGACATAATGTAGCATTTGTGACGTCGTCAGTTGATATTTGATCACCAGTTTTCAATTCTTGTCACCTCAGACTATTTATTATGTACCGAGGTAACTTAAACAATTATCAATTTATTGGTTTATAATATTCAAAGCCAAATAAAACTTTATTTTCAACTAGCTACTCTCACGCGGTTTCAGCCGCTGCTCGGCTTCATTTGATTGTAACGTGATGTAAAACATCACGTTACAATCCTTCAATCAAAAAATAATAACCTATAGCACTCAGGAACATTGTAACTATCTATCAGTAAAAGAATTTTGGCAATCCGACTAGCAGTTCCAAAGATTACCCCCTACATACAAACTTACAAACTTTACCTCTTTATTATACTATAGATAAAGTAAAAAGTTCCATATCCACCTTAACCGCGAAGGATTGCAGAGGGAGTACACATAATGCCACATCGATTTACTACGCCTATTTTTCCCTAGTCTAAAATCTACTAAGGCCTTTAATCTACAAATAAATTCCACTTTTGATTAATAATACAAAACAGCAACTAAAACCATACACTATATTCTAGAAGGAGTATTTTCTAGAACCCTAGCACTAACCTTTAAGATATAATTAGTACATTCAGTGCCGGGCTATTTCAACCGACGGTCTCTACCAATGACAGTCTAGGTTACACTGCGTCATAGCACGGGTCAACGAACTCTAGATGAAAAAGTTCAGGATTAACGAAAATTATATAATTAATGTCACCTACGTATTTTTTTTTTTTTTGTATTGTTTTTTTTCTTAGATATTGTTTTAAAATAATTTGTTTGTTATTGACATTTTTTAGTATTAAGGCATAAACAAGCACTAATATTACACCTACGGTTGACAGTTAGAGAATGTCTTAAGGCATTAAATCCGCCTTTCAGACTGTTTTGTGACTAAAAAGACAAACTGAAAAGTTGTTTGTCGCGTTAGTGTCCGAAACTACTAATTAGAACTACTGAACTTTAAGTGCTGGAGAGCCATGCTGCAGCACGAATGGGTCGGCTCGACCGGAGAAATCCCACGGCCCCACAGAAAACCGGCATGAAAAAGTGGAAAAGTCTGGTGTGCCAATGAAGATTAGCCTAATAAAGATCTATATAATTGAATCGAAAAAGGATTATATTCGAAGAATAACATGTTAATTAGGTTACTATCACTGCAGCACTTCCCTTCTTTTTCTTCCTGCTTTATTTCCAAAAATATTTAAATATGCCGTAATTATAAGTAGTTTTTCATATTCTCCCTTATCACATAACAACTCATTCATAACACTACCTACTTTTAAACATAACAGCTGTTCAATAACACACAACAGATAAAACCACTATAAAACTCAAGCAAAGGAAATAATTACGTAACTACGTTTTTATGATTATTTGCAGGATTTTCAGGGTAGCAGAGAATTCTGATGTTTGTAAGATTCGTAAAAAACATTAATTTCTGGAGCTGATGTAAATATGTATGTTTAAAATGCATCTAGGCAAACGCAGTGTAGGGCGCCCACCAGCTAGGTGGACTGACGACATCCGCAGGGTGGCTGGCAGTGGTTGAGAAGAGCTGAACATCGAGCTCAGTGGCGTGCGATTGGGGAGGCCTATGTCCAGCAGTGGACGACAACAGGCTGATGATGATGATGAGAGGATGATGATG